TTTTCTTCTAGTTTTCAGTTAGTAATATTTTCTAAAACATTGTTTCTCTGTGATAAACAAACATATGAGTACCTAAATCAAAGAAATCACTATCAATATACCTCAATCCAAAATATGACTTTCACTATAACAAGAAATATTCTTTTGTAAACAATAACCTTTTTATGTTTGGTTTTAAAGTGTGCATCTTCCACAGCATTTGTTTAAGACAAAAATTGTTTCTTCTTCTGTATGTAGGTTGCCAAGAAAGGTAATATATATTAGGCTCTGTTCATAAGGGTAGCACTCTGGGTAGTTACTGTTAGCATCTGTTCATTATAGAGCTCAGTATACCCTCAAGACATACCCTTCATAAACATGGAACGTGAGAAACACTGTTCATATTAAATTGGGTTGCATGAATACAGAAGTCATGAATTTAAATTATTACTGGTATCCAGAGAAAATGGTAGTATTTCAGCCTTTAAATAAGATCTCCACTTTATTCCTAAAAACTGACGTTATTAAGTTGTAAATCAGAACCATGTCAGGGTTCTAAGCTATTCATGATTTTCAAACCACTCGAAGGTATTTCAAAAATACTGTTCTACAGTACCTCTCCCCTCAAAAGAATGTTAAGTTTACTTTTATAAGGCACTGAAAGCCTTTCAGATGGTTTGTTTTTCATTTTCTTATTTTCACAAACAAGCAGAATAAAATAGGTAGCAGGTGCTGAAATATGTACCTGACCTAGAATATGTGAAAAGGTGGATTCACAAACTACTAACAAGCTCTATAATTCAGCACAGCTCCAGGGCAAAGTGTGCTTTTTTAATGAAGATACCTAACTTAAACATTCTTTTCTTTACCGCACATGTTCGTACTATGCTTTTTGCTACCTTGGAATTGTAATGGTATAGGATTCTATGAGCTGTATTTATAAAAAATCATAGGGGTGCCTGGGTGCTCCTCATAGGAGCCCCGCGTCGGGCTGTGTGCTGACAGCTCAGAGCCTGGAGCCTGTTTCAGATTCTGTGTCTCCTTCTCCCTCTCTGGCCCTCCCCCATTCACGCTCTGTCTCTCTCTGTCTCAAAAATAAATAAAAACGTAAAAAAAAAATCATAGGGGCCTGGAAAATATGTGTTAGAACCATTGCTTACATTGTTAACCCCACCTGTAATGCTCTCTTCTTTCCTCTTTCCCAGCTGAATTGAGCTAAGTGCTTAACAGCTCAGCTCAGTGTGGGAATATTGAAAACACTTTTTTTTTTAAATTTTCTAAGTTTCTTTATTTTGAGATAGACACAGAGAGAGAGCCTGGAGGGTCAAAGAGAGAGGGAAAGAGAGAATCCCAAGCAGGTTCCATGTTGTCAGCATGGAGCCCAATGCGGGGCTTGAACACACAAACCATGAGATCACGACCTGAGCCAAAACCAAGAGTCAGACATTTAACCTACTGAGCTATCCGGGTGCCCTGAAAACACTGAGGGTTTTTCAGGTATAGAAACCTGAGTCTGTATTACTTCTTTTCTATATGCTTGCAATAAGTCCAATGCAACCTTTCCTTCCCTTCCATTTCTGAAGTGTAGATACGATTGTGAAACATCCTACACCAGAGAGGTGAGGGGAAGATTGTAAAATGGTGTAACAAGACAGATGTCAATCCCCTTAAAACTTCTCAGCACAGAGCCAATGAATACATCAACTTTTATTTTGTTTAAGACATGAATATGTGAGGTCTGTATGTTACCGCAACTGAAATTAAATTCTTTTATTTTTTTTCTTAGAGAAAGAGAGAGAGGATGAGTGTGAGCAGGAGAGGGCAGGCAGAGGAAGAGAGAATCTTAAGCAGGCTCCAGGATCAGCACAAAGCTGGATGTGGGGCTTGATCTAAGGAACTGTGTGGTCATGACCTGAGCTGAAATCAATATTCCAGTGCTTAATTGACTGAGCCACCAGGTGCCCCTGAAATTAGATTCTAACTAGCATGCTTATATGTCTTGTATCCAGTATGCAGATACATACACCCTGAAGAGCTACTATTACACATAATAAAAAAGGACAACGGTATTCTCATTAAAGTCACAAATAAAACAAGAATGTACCCTATTACCACTTATGACCATTGTTGCAGTAATAACCACCATCGTAATTATGTTAAAGCAGTATATTCAAGGCATAAAAAATTGAAAAGAGAAAATAAAATTATATTTGCCAGTTATGTGGTTGTAATGTATAACATTCAAGACAATAAACTGGAAATATATTATAAAATTAAAATATATTTTAGTTTAAAAAGGTAAACATCAATACCAAAGGCATTTATTAGAGGTTAAGAAATATTTAATATGCTGTACTTCTAATGATAATTTGACTTCTTTTAAATGTTTATTTATTTTTGAAACAGAGAGTGAGAGAGAGAGAGAGCAAGTAAGGGAGGGGCAGAGAGAGAAGGAGTCACAGAATCTGAAGCAGGCTCCAGGCTCTGAGCTGTCAGCACAGAGCCTGACATGGACCTTGAACTCATGAACCATGAGATCATGACCTGAGCCAAAGTTGGGTGTTTAACCAACTGAGCCTCCCAAGTGCCCCAATAACTTGACATTTTACTCATGAAATTTAATTTAAAATTCTAACTTTATGTTATGTTTATGTTTCTTAATAAACTGAATACTTTAAATTAGAGCTCTTACAAATTTATGTTATTAATAGCTTATTTTAAGTCTTAAGTGATCTAGGTTTCCTCAAGAAGGCATCAGTTATCACCAATCTTAGTGACAGTTGATATAGTGAAGCATTATTCTCAGTCAATATCAATCCTATTCTTCACAAGTGGGAATTAGAAGAATTTCAAGAAATGTTTGGTTGAATTTTCTGGAAATCTTGTAGATATGCTGTCAGTTTCAAGTAAATATTCTGGCTGGAGTATTTTATAAGGAAGAAAATATTTGGTTCATAGAATCATTGCCTTAAGTTATACTTTATTATAAGGAAGTGGAAGACTAAAGTTATTATTTCTACATAAAATTTAACAGAATTTAAAAGAGCAATATATTTCTTAAACAACACATATCAAAATTTTTCTTACTTATCTCCTATAAAAAATATTATTGAGCTTGTTTTGATGATAACAAGGTAATTGAGAGAATCCAAGATAGCTGTGAGAATATATGATTTAGCTTTAACAATCACCTACTTCGGCTCCTGTCCATTTGGGGCATTTTATTGCAAATAAAATGGTAATTGTAAGTGGTGTCATTGAAAGGGCAATAATTAATAAGAGTACATCTTATTTGGTTTTCAAAAGAAAGCTGTTTGTTTCTATTTTATGTAGCTAAAATGAATTCACCTTCACACAAAGATTTCAGAAGATCAGCTGAATACATTTTCAATAATGGGAGAAATTACATGGGGGTACAAGTATGCTTTGATAATGTAAATTGTAAAATTCTATGACTGGTTATTTAAGGTTCATGTTTTCCTCTTCTCCTCAATCCAAACTTTCATCCAGTCCCGTATTATTACTATCTGTTCACTTCCGTATTTAGTACACATGTGTACAATGGAGTATTAAAATATCCCTCTAATTGCCTACTGTGTCTCTATTATTCCAAACTAATCTCCATACAACACTTGCCTTGTTATAGTGCTTATTCCAGAATTTTCAATGTTTTCTTATCAACTATAGAATGAAGTCTATATTTTTTTATCTTGGTATTTAAAGCTCATTTCATTCAGTCTCTAAACTACTTTTCAGCATTATCTTTTATTACCCTCCAACATGAACCCTTAGTTCTACTCAAAATAGCAAAAGGATTTCAGGCTCTAAGATAACTTTTACTAAGAAGGTTTGACACTAAACAAGTAAAAAATAAAAATCAGATAGTACCAAATGCTATGTAGAAAAATAAATAGGGTAACGTAATAAAGAATGAATCAGATAATGCCAGTGGGAAATATTAGATAGGATGTTGCTGGTGCTTTACTTTCAGTCTCTGATATTTGAGCTAAGAGCTGCATAATAAGTAACTAATCCTTTGAAATGCTGAGAAAAATAGGTTCCAGGTCATAGGAATAAAAATAAAGACTCCAAGGTAGGGGCGCCTGGGTGGCGCAGTCGGTTGAGCGTCCGACTTCAGCCAGGTCACGATCTCGCGGTCCGTGAGTTCGAGCCCCGCGTCAGGCTTTGAGCTGATGGTTCAGAGCCTGGAGCCTGTTTCCGATTCTGTGTCTCCCTCTCTCTCTGCCCCTCCCCCGTTCATGCTCTGTCTCTCTCTGTCCCCAAAAAATAAATAAACGTTGAAAAAAAAATTTAAAGACTCCAAGGTAGAAACCAGGAACATATCTGTAGCAGTAATTTCTTTGTTCAAGAAACCAAAAGACGGTCAGTGAGATTGAAGGAGAATGAGCAAGAAGGAAAGATTCAGCAGGGCCTGCTTCATGACATTATAGGCCATAGCGAGGAGTTTAGATTGCGTTCTAAGTCTGTTCAGAACCTGCTGAAGATTTCATGCAATAGGGGGTCATGATCTGATTTATATTTTTTTAAAAGCATTTTGGTTGTCAAGGATGGAATTGAGAACAACAACAACAAAGCAAAAACAAGCAAACGAAAAACAAATAGTCTAAACAAGAGGCTGTAATGATCAGGGCTTAGAAGAGATTAGCGATGTACAAGAGGGGAAGATTTGGAAGTAATTTTTGAAATGGGACCAAAACTCTTGCTAATGTGTTAGATTAGGGAGTTAGAGAAAAATCAAGGATGGCTCCCAGATTTTTGTCTGAAGCAACTGGGTACACTTTACTTAGATGAGGAGTCTGAGAGAGAAAAAAATCATTCATTCAATTATTTATTCCATAGATATTTTGGACAATTACTATGAACTATTGCTTTAAGTACTGGAAGTCTAATGACTAGGCAAGATACATCCTAGTAGGAAGAAGAAAGAAAACAAACAAAAGAAATACAATGTTAGATAGTGATAACTCTGATACATAGACTCAAAATAGGATACTACATACCTTTTTTCACCTGGGCAGTTAGAAGTGGTTTTGTCTGAGGAAGTGACTTTTAAACTGAGTTGAATAGCAGGGAAATCACTGGAAAGATCATTCTAGGCACACAGAACAGAGAGTACAAAACTCTAAGGTGAAAATGACCTTGATGTGTTTCAGAAATGGAAAGGGGAGTGTATGAAGAGCATGGTCTGCAAAAGGGGAGTGTCATAACATGAAAGGGGAAGGCCAGATCCTACATGGTTTTGCAACCAGGATAATTTTGAGGGTAATTTATAGGATGACTTTAATCAAGGAGAGTGCATAACCTGGTTTATGTTTTAAAAGAGCACTCTGGTTGTGGTATGGAAAACAACTTATAGAAAAATCAAAGCAGAAGAAAGGCATTTGTTGAGGAACCATTAATTTCAAAGGAGATAGGAGTTTAAGTGGTCATAGCAGAGGGAAGTGGAAGGAAGAAAGTAGATTCTGAAACAGATTCTGAATAGGTTTTGAGAGTGTGGGTTTAAGAGTCCTATTTTTTAAAAGTTAAGTTTGAGATGCCAAACAGACATACAAATGAAGACGTCAAGGAGAGAATTGCAATTAATTGTGAGAAGCTTAAATGTGAATTCAGTGTGGGAAATTTACTGTTGGCAATCATCAGCCTATGGATCGAATTTTAAAATACCCTGTTTTTATAGAGAAGAAAAGAGAGTCAAGGACTAAACTCTAGAGTACTCTACTTTTAGAAGAGGGTTAGTGGAGTAGATTAGTAGTTTTGCACATTGTTAGTGTTCAATAGATGTTTCTTGAATTAAAGTAGTGGTTGTTTTAATATCTGTTAACTGGACTGCCCTGTTCACAGAGGAAGCTTTGTTAGTACAGCTGCAGTGGAAAAATCTGGCAAAGAATGGTAGATCTCCCAATAGAATGTTACTTGTTTTGTAATTCAAAATTAGAAAAGTTTTGCAATTTTACATTATAAAACCTTATTTATAATTTTTCAGTTATAATGTATGTGGTTAAATATTAAAAACAGGTAATTATAAGGGGCTAAAATCCATTTCATACTAGTTTGGGTCAGAATATGGAGAGTAAATATATTTGTTAAAAAAAAAATGGCAGGAGGGGGGTTTGCTTGGGTGGCTCAGTCAGTTAAGCATCAGCTCAGGTCATGATCTCACAGTTTTGTGCGTTCAAGCCCCACGTCAGGCTCTGTGCTGACAGTGCAGAGCCTGCTTGGGATTCTCTCTCTTTTCCCTCTCTCTCTGCCCTTCCCCTGCTCACACTGTCTCTCTCTCTCTCTCTCTCTCTCTCTCTAAATAAGCAAACTTAAAAAATTATTTCAAAAAAATACGGGAAAGGCAAAGATGAAACTCACCAAATCAGATGCTGTATGTATCCTCCTCTATTTCTTCATCTTCTGTCTTCACCTCTCTTCATTTTCTCCTTCCAAACCTTGACTTTTTCCACATGGTAGGAGATAGCCATGGATAACATTAGAGTTTCATACATAGAAAATTCTCTAAACCTCAGCTGACTTCACTATAAACTGTAGTTAATAGAAATGATGCTATTTATCCAAAGATAAGAAATTAGAGGTATGTAAAGTGCTTGGAACAGTTCTTGGCTCAAAGCATATATATATATATATATATATATATATATATATATATATCCCTTTCTTTGTCCTGGAGGAGTCTTTTGTCAAGTAAGACTGTCATATTAAGATAAGCTGGAAACTTTACTTTTGACAAAAAAAATTAAAATAAATTACAATTGGTGGCACTTGGGTGGCTCAGTTGGTTAAGAGCCTGACTCTTGATTTCAGCTCAGGTCATGATCTCATGGTTCGCAAGTTGGAGCCCTACATCGGGCTCTGGATTCTGTCTCCCTCTTCTCTGCCCTTCCTCTGCTTGCTCTCTATTACTCTCTCTAAGAATAAATAAAAGTAAACTTTAAAAAATAACAATTTTTAACTTTCTAAAATGAATCTAACCATTTTCCATTGAGATTTTTATAGCATTGAGTTAAAGTAAGGGTTAACATTTTACAATTAGCTATTTCCATCATTGTAATGAATATATTTTGCATTAATATTCAGTTCAACTCTAGGAATTCTGTGTACTGGCCATCTATATAACTGAAGCACTCACTAATATGGAACAAAAAGATATGATTTACTGCTACAGAAATTGTAGTGAGACACAAAAGTGTTTCACTATCTTTGCATATGAAGGTACAGACACATATGGTTATTTTATTTTATTTTTAAAATTCATTTATTTAAATTCAAGCTAGTTAATATACAGTGTAGTATTGGTTTCAGGAGTAGAAGCCAGTGATTCATCACTTACATATAACACCCAGTGCTTATCTCAAAATGTGTCTTCCTTAATGTCCATCATCCATTTTACCCCATCCTCCAACCCACCTCCTCTCAAGAAATCCTCATTTTGTTTTCTGTATTTAAGACTGTCTTATGGTTTTCCTCTCTCTCTCTCTCTCTCTCTCTCTCTCTCTCTCTGTTTTTCTTATTTTTCCTTCCCTCCCCCTATGTTCATCGGCTGTGTTTCTTAAATTACACATGAGTAAAATCGTATGATATTTGTCTTTCTCTGCCTGACTTATTTTGTTTAGCATGATACACTCTAGTTCCATCCACATTGTTGCAAATGGCAACATTTCATTCTTCTTGATCACAGAGTAGTATTCCATTGTGTGTGTGTGTGTGTGTGTGTGTGTGTGTGTGTGTGCGTGCGCGCACGCACATACACATTCTTTATCCATTCATCAGTTGATGGGCATTTGGTCTCTTTGTATAATTTGGCTATTTGGTAGTGCTACTATAAACATTGGGGTGGATGTACATTTTATCCTCAAATTATTTGATGTGATACTAAATCATTTACTTTGGTACCATCCTTTTTTTAGAACTAGAATGTATTCATGAGATTCACTCTCTTTGTAGAAAATTGAATTACAAGGAATTTATACACATATCTAGAATGAAATGTTAAAATTCCTTGCCCCCTGAATGTTTAAATTCACCTTTTCTGGTGACAAACATCTATTGAGAAAGTTGAGCTCCAGAGCATAGCACTTGAAGAATTGATTTATTCTGTTTGTGAACATTCAAGTGATCCTCCTAAATTATTTAGGTGGTGTGGTATAGGAAAATTAGGAGCTATTTATAAGGAAATATAAATGTATCTTGAGGCAACCTTGAATACATTAATTTTTGTGAGTTGAAAATTAGGTTTGCAATACATATAATATCTCCACAAGCTAAATAGACTAGAACTGTTGATTTTATCCCAGATGACAGAAATTATGGTAAAGAAAGAGAAATGAGAAGCACTGCACTGTGTTATAGCAGGAAACATCTTGAGTATGCACAGGAAAACTTAAAGATTTAGGTCTGCGATTGCCATTCTGTAGCTATGTGACTTTGGTGTAAGGCCCTAAATTAATGTCTCTTTATAGGAGTCTCTAAGATTCAGCATCTCAACTATAAAGTGTGTCCATGTGTGTGTGTGTGTGTGTGTGTGTGTGTGTGTGTGTGTGTGATTGAACTTGGATTCCTGGTGTCAGCTTCTGCATGTAAAAAGCACAGAAGTTGCCACTGTCATCCTTACAAGTAAAAGCTTGACAAACTGAAAATCAATAACTTGTCTTGCATCCATCAGAAAGCTGAATTTGCAGGGTGAACTGCCACACTGAAATCTGGAGGGAAAGGTGAATCCAGAGAGTCATAGCCACAATCTACATATCTTCAGCAGAAGCTGCTGTAATCATAAATCGGTAGGAACATTTCCAAGGTGAGTTTTACAAATTGTTGGAGACTAAGTGAAGTCTAATTTGGGAGTGAGAAATTCCTGGGAGTTAAAATCTTGGGGGGAAGAAGCAGCTACAAACTTCGGTTTATCACTGCGAAGGTCTAAGAAAGATTTCCTGATGGCTCTGGCAAGCAGGTGGAGGGGAGTAACAAACCCTGTGAAATATCTTCAGAACCTTCTCCATAATAAAAGCCTACTTTCCAGGGAAAAAGACCTGTACCAGAGCCTTTTTCCAGAGTGAGGAAGGGCATTCCTCTAACCTTATCGCTCTCTGGGTTTGCTATCTTACTTATAGGGGATAAAAAGTCAACAGAAGTTGATATAGGTATAGACTGAAAATACTATAGGAAGAGGTTGAGGTGGGGACGGGAGAACAAAAAAGACCACTGGAGGAATCCTGAGGTCAGAGCCCACATACCTGGACCCACTAAAACACTGAGATTTAATCTGAAGATTATAGAATGCAAAAAGGGAAAAGAATGAACAAAACAGAAAAAACATACAAGAAGTGTGGGATGATATCAAACATCATAAATGTGATTAGAATTGCAGAAGAAAAGAAAGAAAGAGAAAAGGGAACTGATGGAAGACCCGAAGTAATAATGGTTAAGAATTTTCCCAAATGAATGCCAGACATCAAATCACAAATGCAGGAAACTCAGAAAATACAAACAGGATTAAGAAAAAAAATGGTCATATCATATTCAACCTGTAGAAAACCAGAGAAAAAAATCTTGAAAGAAGTCAGTGAGGAGGGCAGGAACATTTTGTCTACAGAGAAATAAGGGTAAGAATTTCAGTGGACTTCCATCTGAAGCCATGCAGGCAAGAAGACAGTAACTAAAATATTTTAAATACTCAAAAGAAAAAGACAAAACCCCATCAGTGTAGAGTTCTATATCTAGTGAAATTATCTTTCAAAAGTGAATGAAAAATGAAAACCTATCAGACAAACAAAAATTGACTTATTTATTGCCAGCAGAAGTATCTTATAAGAAATGTTAAGTTCTTCAGGGGGAAAGAAATGATACACAACACTCGTTTGAAAAAAAAAATGGCGTTGGAGAAGGACCAATAGAAGATAAAATCTTTTACCTTTCTTATTTTTAATTGTTGGAAAAGATAACTACTTTTTAAAAATAATAACAATGTATTGGGCACCTGGGTGGCTCACTTGGTTAAGGAACCGACTCTTGATTTCAGCTCAGGTCATGATCTTGTGCTTTATGAGATAAGCCCCATGTGCAGGACTCTGCACTATCAGAGCAAGAGCCTCTGCTATCAAGTGGGGAGCCTGCTTGGGATTCTCTGTCTCCCTCTTTCTCTGCCCCTCCCCTGCATGCATGCTCACGCTTTCTCTCTCTCTCTCAAAATAAATAAATGAAATTTAAAAAATAATAATGTATTGCATGACTTTGCATATGGAAAAATAAAGTGCATGAGAGCAATACAAGAAATGGGATGTAGAACTGGGAATATTCTGGTACAAGACACCTGCATAACATGTAAGGCAGTACACTGTTATTTGCAGGTGGACTAGGCTTAGCTTAAAATGTATACTGAAAACTCTAGCTCAACCACTAAATATTTTAAAGTATAATTGATACATTGAGAGGAGATAAAATAAGATCATATAAATTGCAAGTTAAAACTAGAAAAGGCAAAATATGAGGAGGTACAAGAGAAAGAATGTACAAAATTGTTGGGTGTTAATCCAATTACATCAATAACCACTTTAAGTTTCAATGCTCAAAATACACTAATTATAAGATAGAGAATGTCAGAAGGGACTTAAAAGTCAAAGTGTATGCAGTCTACAAGAAACCTACATTAAATAAAAGACTCAGATTGAAAGCAAAGGGATAGAGAAAGATGTACCATACTAATGCTAATCAAAAGAAAGCTGAAATAGCTATGTTAATTTCAAAGGTTTCAGAACTAAATTTTCATGGATAAACAGGAATATTACATAATAATAAAGGCATCAATTTTAAAAGAAGACCTTAAATGTGCATGCACCTAACAGAACATCACAGAGTATGTGAAGCAATACAAGTGAAATAAGAAATAGACAAATATACTCTTACAGTTGGAGTCTTCAAAACCCCTCTGTCAGTGATAGATCAAAAAGGCAAGAAATCAGATGACAGATGAGAAACATAGATAAATAGGATAAATGCTACAGTAATCAGGCCACTTACTAGCTTTACTCTCTATGTGATTTTATATACATTACCTAA